ACGCGCGCCGGGGCCGCGGCGCAGCCTCCTCGCCCCCAGGGCCTTAGCTTCCTGGAACCCGCTGCCACCAGCTCGCCAAGACAAGGTGTCCCCAGGGGCGCCCCCTCTAACCTGGAAGTGAGGAAGGGGCCACCCAGATGCACGGGAAGCGCCGAGCGGGGGAGTTTAGAGGGAACCCTGCTCCCCACCCACCGCACTCTGCAGCGCCTTTCCGCGCCCCCAGGCTTTACCTGGTGTCTCCAGGGTCTCCCAAGAACGAAACCTGCGCTCCTGGCCGGACCTGCAAAACCTGCCCTCCAGCCGGCCGGACCACCGCTGCTTTGTTTCCCGCAGCGCTGGCGGGAGCGCTGCGGAGCCCCCGGGCCGGCTTCGTTATTGGGCACCAGATGGTGGAGCCACCTCCTCACCCAGTGGGCCTGCCTTCCCCGTCCGTCCAAGAAGTGCGCGGGTCGGCTCGGGGTCTCCTAGCAAGACTTACACTGTGAACCTCGCCCTTTAAGGACCCGAAAGCTAGGGAGGTGCTGGTCTCTCCCGAATGCATTGTGTTAATACAGATCACTGTTCAGTCCTTCCCTCCCGTGAATCCTTGTGAAGAGGACGCAGAAATTACCACTAATTCACAATAAAAACTGGCGGTTTGGAGAGGGTTAATGACTTGCTCTAACCCTTGCATAGCTCTTGAATGGTAAGAAAAGATTTTTTACTGAGCCCGCTTTTTTCCCTCTCTGTCAAGCCTTTTCCCTTTTTTCTGTCAAAGCCTGTTCTTAGGAAGGCCCTAACATACTACTGCACACAAAAGTGTTAGTGACAGGCCTAATCCTTTTGTGTTTGCAATTGACTTTAAATAGGAAAGGCCTGAATACATTATGAGTGATGTTTCTCAAATAGAAGATAACACTGTCCCTGCCCACCGGTTTAAGGGCAAAATTTTCTTAGACCTCCCTAGTCTTGGCTTAAATTTTTAAAAAAATCAGTGTAAGTATAGTCAAAAAACCAGATCTAAACTTTGTTATAGCTTCCAAACAACTTCAGAATAAAACAAAACAAATTTATAAGTTAAATATAAAAATTATCTTCAGAACAATAAAATTTAAATTAGGATTGCTTTCTCTGTGGCAGAAACCCACCCCCTTCCCAACACTTGAGTCTATTAGTTGCCCAGGTAATAGTTCCTGTTCCAGATCCGGTTGCTCCTGTCTCTTAGAAACGGCTGTCACTGTGATGCACACTGTATAAACCGGTACCCAATTGACAAGCCATTCCGCCTCTGCACTTGCTGCTTGCTTATCCAATGAAAGCCCTAGACTGCCAGAGATCAGGGCCTGATAGTTGGGAATGATGCTGATCAGTGCCCCTCGACATAAGTAAATCTGCCTCCAAGTCCTGGGTGTCGTTTTGGTGTTTCTGCTGCCATTGCACCTCAACTACTACAGTACCCTTCAGTACTTACTGACTGCTCAGGTGTGCAGGGCACTTTTGAGCTCTCTGTAGCTCTATCACTTTCCTGCTGTGCAAGTTGCCGTGTATTAAGTCAATGTTCTCACCTCTTTCCTCTCTTCCCTCTGCCATACCTCTTCCTTTCACCTTATGTCATTGACTTTCTTTCTTTCTTTTTTCTTTTTCCATTTTTTTTTTTTTTTTGGTCTTTTTGAGACAGGGTCTCACTGTGCAGTTCACGCTGGCCTCGAACTCACTTTGTAGCCCAGGCTGGCCTCGAACTCACATCGACCCTCCTGCCTCAACCTCCCTAGTGCTAGGATTGCAGGTGTGTGCCACCATGCCCAGCTTGTCATTGGCTTTCACTTGACCTTTATCCATCTTCGAAGGATTAACCTTGTGCTGCCCCTTTCTTTATTAGCACAGGAGTACGGTAGCAACTCTTGAGGCTGAGCAGCAGCACACACAAGTGTGAAATCCAGGTGCTGTACTTCATACAAGTCGGCCATCCCAGTAACTCAGAGCGTGCTTATGCTCTTCCTTGCCCAAAAACTGAAAAAAGATGAAATTATGGATCTTTGAAGGGTTAGTAGCTCCCAGATGGAGAGACACCGTTAAGAGTCAAGTATCTTAATAGAGAATCAGGGGGGTTGGAAGGGGAGTTTTTCCAAGTAACCACTTTGAAGATAACAATATGTAATACAACAAGTACTGTTAACTTCCTACCACCTTGCTTGAAATTGTGTTGTTTTTATTGTTTTTGTGTTGTTCTGTTTATGTCTTTGTGTTTGTTAGTTTTTGTTCTTTTCTCTTTAAAATAAAAGGGGAGTTTTCACATATGCCTAAGTTTTATTAGGTTTATTATCATATATAATCAGGTATTTACTGAGCACTTGTTGCGTACAAAATGTTGTGCTAGGCATAAAATGGAAGAGGGTCACAGCAGACAGTACAGCAACACGAGGGTATGACAGGGGCTGCAACTCCTCCGTGTGAGTGGGAACTGTTTCACAGTCTGCAACCTTCTGGCTGTGTGGTTTTTGGCTTTTCTGTGCCTTAATTTCCTCCTCTATAAAATCAGGCTACTTAAAAGCTGTAGAGTTGTTTTCGGCATCGAAGGAATGTGTTATGGTTTAAATCTAAAACGGCTCCCAAAGCCTCACATGTTTGGAGGGTGATTGGGTTATGCTATGGGACTGCTGGAGCTGACTCACTGCTGGGAGGTGGGGCCTGGTTTAACAGGCGGGTGGGCCAGCCTCCTCGCCCACATGTGTGGGTCTGACCTCTCCTTTGAGTTGCAGGTGTCAGGTATTTTGTCTCAGTGATGAAAAAAGTGACTTAGAATGAATACATGTGAAGTGTTTAGGATCCTTCCTTGACATTCAGTAAGGCCCTAATAAATATTCGCTATTACATGGATCATGCTGAAAGCCTATGCCTTAGCTCTACTTTGGAGCATGGTCCTCCAGCACCACTTTAACCCCCTTTGGCATTCATTATTTTTTGCTTAGCAGTTGTACTATTCTGAGGTAGAGTATTAGAGAACTTAATGAGCATTTCCATCATCCAGAGAGAGACACCAAGACACAGAAGGGCCCAAGGGCATATCTCTGCCTCGGCCGATTTCAGAGGCTATTGCTCACTACCCAGACACTAACAGCCGGAGTTCTAACTACACATGACTCATGGGACTTGGCTTGAGCAAGTACTATCTACTCTTGCTGTCCACTGAACAGAACAGTGAAAGGATAAAACAGTGAGTGGACATTACCTGGCCTGTAGGCTGTCTTTGTGTTGCCGTATGAACAGCAACAATGCCAGATTTGTGCAGTACTTTGACCTTTGAGAGAAGTGTCCTGTGTAAATAGCAGATGTCCTCATGCAGATCCTAGATATTTGCTTTTCTTTATGTACTTCCCCTGTCTCCCCCAACCCTAGAAAAAAATTCAGAACCCTCACTACTTCTTAAGAACTTCAGCTTCAAACTTGTAATTCTCAAATAGTTCTTAGCAATTAAGTGATTAAAATTGAATTCAAATTAAGGTCCACACGTTAACTGACTGCACTCTGCATAATGTTTCTGGGGCTGTGAGACAGAGCAAGGTAATACCCCCCAGATCAAGGAATTTATGCTATGGACATAAACAAGACAAAATCCAAATGGGAGAAAGTGAGATTGAGACTTAGGCTAGATCAGGGTCCAGACACATCTGACAGGCTCAAAGGATGAAGATCTGAATGAGCTGTGAACATACATTATCTCTGTGGCTTTAGGAAACCACCTTGTGACAAAGGAAGAGAAATCTCTACTGCATAGATGGGAAAACCAAGATACACATAAAGGGACTGTTGTAATGATTACAGCAATGTTTGCACACAATGCCCTGGGTCAGTGGGATATATTTTATTGCATGTACTCATCAAGGTAAACAGAAAGTGATATTTTAGTCCATTTTTGCTGCTATAATAGGACACTAGAGACTAAGTAATTTTATAATGAACAGGAATTTTTTTTTTAGCTCACAATTCTGTCTGAGACCCAGGGCCCATGTCTGGTGAGGACATTCTTGCTGCCACAACAAGATGGAATGTGTCACATCGCTAGAGAGAGCAAGAGGGGGCCAAACCGGCTTTATAATGAACTTTACCTCACAATAAACATCCCACTCTCTGGATAACAGTATTTATTTATTCATGAAGGTTCTGGCTTTAAAAGGTCCCACTTTCAACACTGTTGAAAGTTATGTGACTTTCTGTGCCTCACTCTTCTCATCTGTATTATGTGACTAATTTAAGACTATTGTGTGTTTACAACCATAATCCTTATATCTTTGAGATAAATGAGTGAGATCATCAATAAGAAGAATGTAGCGCAATGATCCGCACAAATAAATTCTAGTTTTAGTATATGTTCTGTCAAATCAAGCACAGCATAAATAAATTCTAAATTGGCATTATCTATGGTGATGCCGGTGATTACTATTGCTACTAGTAGTAGCACTACTGTGAATGCTTATTAAATATTTAACATTTTTTGAATGAGTGAGTCAAACCATTACATTATTGTACTAAAAAGTTTAATCCAAACTTTTTAAGAAAAGAGTATCTCAGATCTCTTGTTCAACCTTCAAATCTTTTTATTAGTTTTGTCTATGCATGACATTGAATTTCTTACTACTGAATTTAGGAAAAGTTACAGATTGCTGGGCATGGTGGTGCACACCTGTAATTCTATCATTTGGGAGGCCAAGGCAGGAGGATCGTTGCAAGTTCGAGACTGGCCTGGGCTGCAAAGTGAGCTCAAGTCCAGCCTGAACTGCATAGCGAGACCTTGTCTCAAAAAGACAAAAAGAAAAAGTTATACATTGAATGGGTGTAATTTTTGTCTCCTCTTTTCTCCATGATATCATCAATTTATTCATTCAACAAATTTCTATTGAATCACTAATACTGCTAAGTCTATACATTTGTATTTTAAGGGAGAAATAAATTTTTCCCCTTTATAATGCTGGATTAAAATTTTTAAATGATAAAGAAATAGCTGGATATGATGGCACACACCTGTAATTCCGACACGCAGGAGACTGAGACAGAAGGATCACTATGAGTTTGAGGCCAGCCTGGGCTACATAGTGAGTTTGAGTTCAAATCCCAGTAAAACACACACACACACACACACACACACATTGTTGAATAAAATCGTCTCATTGAGACGTGGTACTCTAGGAAGCAAAAAGGTACACAGCTAGGCAAAGCTTTACTTTAATCCTACTTTAAAGAATATAGTGATCTAAAAGTATCCCAAAGAAAAACAGTCTTTGACACTAGCAATTTCCTGTATATCCAGGGCACTATTCTAAAGTAAAAATGAGAGATATTTTGGATAACTATGTGTCTCTCATTTTCTTGGTCAAATTTGAAAAGTGTGCAGAGGCCGGCGCTGGGCTTCTCTGACATACTCAAGCTTACATACTGATCCCTATGATCAGGATGGATCAAGAACAAAAGAGAAAATAAAGACTTTTACAGTAGAAAAATTTCTCTTGAAAAGCAGTTTTGGAAAACTCTTTTATTTTTAATTTATGTTTGCATTATTCATAA